ATATATAATGTAATTACTCTAAAATACTTATAAAACTCACCTTAGCATCGATGCCAACCCTACTCGCCTCACGCACGCGAGCTCTCTTCCTTTACCTCCCTTCGGCCTCAGCTGACCTCGTCGGGCAAGTAAGGTTGACACCGAAAGAGTAGCCCAGAGCACGTCACCACCTCTCCTTCTTCCTTCTCTTTCTCCGCACGCACGCGAGCGCAGCTTCCTGCTTTCTCCTTTTTGGCTTCAACTAGGACCAGGTAAGACCTCGATGCTGCTTCTTTCTCCTTCGACTTCTCCTTCTTCTTCCTTACGTGGCTCGAAAGCCCTAACTGCACGCACAGTACCACGATCCTCTTCTTCTTCTTTGCAGTTTTTGTTGCGTGGCTTTGTAGCGCCGGAGCAACCTCGTCCCTTCTCTGCCTACGAAGACGACACTACAACCCTTCTTCCTCTTCTACTTCTTAGTCTTCCTTTCTCTTCTCGCACAATAGCCACAACTTTTTTCTCCTTCTCGCTCGCTCTATTCTCCTTCTTATTCGTTAACTAGATCAAACGATTTAATACCTGGGAAGAGGTGTGTTCCTCCCAACAGACACCTATTATTTTATTTTATTTATTTATTTTTGTTATTAGTCTGATCTTATGTAGTCAGCTAGAGACTACCGACTGGAGCTTGAGCTGGTTGGACTGACGAGAGCTGGTTGGACTGATTGGAGGCAGTGGTCAGCTAAATGGAGTTGATGATCGGGTCAAATGAAGTTGGTCGAGTCGAACGGAGATGGTCAGGCTCACTAGAGCTTGTACGTCAAGTGAACATAAGGCTGCCTATCAGGTCAACTGGAGCTCGTCGGGCCAAACAGGGCTGATCGGATCAAACGATGTTGGTCGGGCTAACTAGAGTTGATGGTCGATTGAACGAAACAGATTAGGCCAATTAGAGTTGGTGGTCAGGTCGAATAGAGTTGATCGGGTTGATTGGAGCTTATATGTTTGGTAGACTGGAGCTGGTCGAGCCAATTAGAGTTGATGATTGGTTGAACAAGGTTGGTCGGGCCAACTGGAGCTGATGGTCGAGCTAAATAGAGTTGGCCTTGTTGAATAGAGATGGTGGTTGAGCCGATTGAAGCCTATAGCCAATCGAAAGGAGGTGGTCGGGTAGACGGGAGTTCATGGTCGAGCCGACCGACTAGATTTGATGGTCGGCCCGACAAGAGCTGACTTGACTAAGGGTCTGTTTGGGACAGCTGTTGATTATAAGCATATTATTCTAATAATCTGATAATCTGCAGATTATCAAAATAAACTGGCTTGCTGTTTGAGGCAACTTATTCAGAACAGTTTACTGGGAGCTGTTGTTGAATAAATGACCATTATGTCCCTGTTTGGTTAAGAAGTTACCTGATACACACAGCATTACCACAATGTTTTTAAAATTGCTAAGAAAATTCATATTGCTGAAAAAAATAAATAATAAGGACACAAAAGAATTATGTGGTTCGATCAAAGACCTACATCCACAGTAAAACGTCGAGCATGTTTTATTATGCAATTGTGTAAGGTTACATAATTATGAATCTCAAGGGAGAAAACTATAACATTCTCTCAGCTACCCCTATACAATCAGTTTTTCATATGTGTCTTCCCTTTTCATATGTACCTCAACTAACAAATAAAAGTAGCTCAACGTAAACCTAATGGCAAGCATATTCATGAAGCTATTAGAGGCTTCATCCTTTTGTTGTACCAAAAAGAAATTTTGCCAAATTACTGCCCAATAGTTTCGAGGCATATATTCATCTCCAGCTGCTAGAAACAGGTATGAATGTTACAAATGAGCAGATAAATGAATCCAATTGATGAATGTAACTGCAGCTAATAGTAAATCCCCATTTATTGAAACTGCAACTAACAATGATATCAAATAAACTAAAAATCCCCATTTATATCAATAACCTATCAATAACACCATTCGAAACAGCTATATGAAAGCCAAACAGCTATATTGAGATGTCGAACCCCTTCATTTATATCAGATGAATGCTTCTTTAAGAGGTATTATAATATTCACTCCTTGAGCCGTAAACAATTAACACAAAAATTACAAACACTACTCTTGCTATAAACAACACAAATAGCATGAACCATTCAAATGTCAGTGAATTCGTATTTCATAAATGAGGTGAGACTATTCAGTAATTTCGAGATGCCACATTACTAGCATGAAAAAAAAAAATTCAGAGCACAAGGTGTCACAACCATGCTAAGAACATCAATGTGGAAGCAATTCATTGAGGAAAAACATTTTAACTGCATAATCCACTTTTTAACTGCATTATTCACATTTTAACTGCAGATGAAAATGGATCAATGCCACAATCGATCGATCTACAATGGATCGGCTCCTCAAAAAAAAAAACCAACTCAAGCATGATCTACAATGGATAGTCTCTAAAGAATGCTGAGCTGAAAGTCATGCCAATATTCCATAGTGAGAATCGCAAATCCATTAGAAAAACCCATTAGAAAATTTCATAAATCACTTTGATATACAGATTTTATGCAAAGAACACAAATTTCAGATATTTCATGCAAATCGAATGGAAAATTGCATTGTAACTCCACTTTAGAAAAGAACCAGCAAAGAAATCGCACTATTGTAACTTCACCTCAAAAAAAAAACCCTAACATACCTCATATGAGGTGAAGGGGGGAGGAAGGGAGCGTGAAGGAACAACCTAGGAGTCGCGGTGTCGATCTCCGCGAGGTTTTAAGGACGAGAAGGAAGATCGGAGAGGGGACGGGCGAGGGAGAACAAAAGGGCACGGGAGGAAATCTCAGGGCAACGCGGGTCGCGGACGCGGGACGCGGGGGAGTACCCGCGTCGAAGTCTATTAGCAAAACGGGAACGCGAACGCAGGTGCAATGCCTAAACGCCGGGCGAACTTTTTTTTTCCAAACGGTGCCGCGGCGTTTTAAAAACGCCGCCGCACCCCAATAAGCCGCCCCAAACGGGCCCCAAGTCAACTAGAGAGGGTCAAGTTCAGAAGTTTTTTTTGGATAATCTCAACACCTTAAACTCCGATTGAGAATTTTTGTCATACAATATTTTCGATGTGATGTTAAAGATTTAAGTGTTATGCATATACATATGAAATTATAGATGTTGGATACTTAAAAACATAAGAATTATATGGTATCTATGTAAAGGCCTCTTTGTTTTAATATTCTCAACCAAAATCCTATTATTCTTATTCTTAAAACATCTAACCTACTAAAATCATAGATTTCACAACTCATGCTTATATTATAAAAAATTTCAATAAAAACACAAGCCCTGAATTCGCCAGCAATAAAGAAACCCAGTGCAGAGAAACAGAACTTCAACATCAAACACAGTAATCTTCATGGCAGAGTAAATTACAACATCAAAAAAATAAAATGACAAATTGCACAGACAGTGAAAATACAACAGAGTACCTGATTTCTACTTCTTTTTTCCAGACTTCCCTTCCTTTCTCCTCACTACTTCGTCAGCATACCTGACTCCCTTCCCTTTGTACGGCTCCGGCGGCCTCCAGCTCCTAATAGTCGCAGCGAATTCGCCAATAGAACATTTGTCATAACCGCTCACTATAATTCTCGTGCTTTCTTCCACTTTCACCTGCAAACCATTTGGAATTGCCAATCGGACTGGATGTGAAAACCCTAAACTCAGAACCAGATCCTTTCCTTCCAATGCAGCGCGATAACCGACGCCGACCAACAGTAATCTTTTCTCGAATCCCTTTGAGACACCAAGGACCATATTATCTGTAAGGGTTCTGTGTTGTACATCTATAAGAGTCTTATGCAATAGGTGAAAATGGCATATTTCGTTCTTAGAAAAGAAAAAAAAAAAGACATTTTTTTGTTCCATCGGATGCAAAAGAGAAACAGAAGCTAGCATCATGTTTTGAAGATTCAAGGGTGGAACTTTTTATTTTCTTTTTTATCTTTATGGTATTACATTTTTCTGAAGATTTTTATAAAAAAGGTTGGGGCATTTACATACATATACCACACAAATCTTATGTATTTACATATCTAAAATCTAAAGTTTGTTTTTTGCGTTTATATGCCTGAATTTTTCATACCACATTAAAAGTACCACTACTAAGATTTTTATCAGTTTCATGAATGTAGTTGTTATTTCTTAGTATTTCTACATGAACAGACTTCTGCTCTCTTATCCAAAAGGTTGACTAAGTATAAAGACGCATTTACGTACATAGCACATAATTCTTATGTGTTTACATGTCTCATACCTAAACTTTCATATTTATGTACATAGCACTCAAATATTTAATATCACATAAAAATAGCACTATTATCACTTTTTAAATGTGAAATATATTTTCATAAATAGATTTAAAGCACCAAAGTGTCATGTATGTAAATATGAAAGTTTAAGTGTGAAATATGTAAATATATCAGAATTGTGTGCTGAGTATGTAAATTTCCCAATAACAAAAATGTCTACAAACAACAAAATGAGAGCAATAATCATCTAACAATTTTTATGCGTGTAGATGACAATGACAACACGGATTTTTAATTTTAACGTAAAAGTAGAGCGGATTAAAATGAGCAACGGTTTAGCACATGAGAGTTGTAATAATTTGAAGAACAAAATAAATTCCAAGAAAAAATTCAATCATCATATATCATCAAAGATCGTACCTGAAAAGACCATGCATCTGATTTGCCCGTCTCGTCTCGAGGGCTTTGTACATCCTTAATTGTCCAGATTCCTGTCGCTCCAGTTTGACTTCTCGAGGTAAAGTCAAAGAAAGTTGACCCAATGGGCCCTTCACCCTTAAATCTTGCCCTTCCAATGTGACATTCACACTAGAAGGCACTTCAATTGGCCTTTTTCCAATCCTAGATTCTTTGCATTGCACTGGTTTACTTAGGAGTCCCGCTCTAGAGGCAGGAAGATACAATACACGTATCCCACATCTCTCTCCAATAAATGCAGATTTCAAATTACTGAAAAAATAAATGATATATAAATTTTAGATGAGTAAAATGCCAAAATAGTCACTTGAGTTCATAACATAAGCCATTTTAGTCCCAGAGTCTGTAAAAATGTCAAATTAGTCCCCTCACAATTTTAATTTTGGCTGAAATAGTCCATTGGAGGACTATTTAAGCCCCTTTAAAAGCGACTCTTGGGATTAAATTGATACTTTTATAGATTTTGGGATTAAAATAACCCCTGACAAAGAGTTAGGGGACTATTTCGACACTTTTCTCTATTCACAATGGCATATCAAAACCATCATTAATGGAGGAATGATAATAAAAGATTTTCAGGCGTGATTGGCTGTAGAAAAATAAAAATTTTAGGCTCTCAGAGCATTTATGCATAATAAGTTCTAATATTGATGGAAAGCAAATATTGTGAAAAATAAATCTTTTTTTTCTTAAGGTCATGGGCCAGCTTTTAGTAATACCATATTATAAGATTTTTGAATAAAAGCAAGAGCCACACTAATGACTGACTCAAAATAAGAAAAACATAACAAAGCCAAGATTTTCCATAAGGGTTGGAGGAATAGTTGTGCTTTTTGTCATAAATTGTTGGTTTTAATTTCTACCAAGGGCAACTCAGTAGTTTGCAAATAGGATACAAGCTTTTAATTTTATGACAAAGGTCTATAATACCCATAGTAACTTTTCAAAACTGTTTTCCCACAATTAATTTTATGGGCCAACAACCATCTTCCCCAATGGAGCATTAAAATGAAATAATCACTTTCTATATTGTGATTTCTCTCAAGATGCCACAAATAACTTTATTACATCATGGTTTATTGGGTAAACTTGTGTTTTAAGAACTCAAGCACCAAGGATTACCACTATGTAGTACTCAATGGAGTTTTAGTTCAGTTGTCAAAGAAGACTACAATTTGCATTGTTAGTAAACTAGTAATCTAAGATTTTTATAAACAAGAACGCAAAAAAAATTTAATGCTAATTATATTTAAATAGTTCTTAATCCTTTTTCCTTCAACTCTATATGAGATCGATCAAAATTATCAGGGTTTGGTACAAGCCTGATAAGTCAAACAGCATTAGTGTAACTATATTAATTTATCAAATCAAGTAAAACCACAATGATTTAGCATAAACTTGATAATCACTGGATTTTGCTGAAACTATGATAAATCATGGGAGTTCAAAAATCAGCGTCTCATTTAATTGCCATTGAATATAAAGAACTTAAAAACTTGAGGACCAATCAACTAAAGTTCAGAATATTTTGTTTCTCAACAAATGACTGAAATGAACCAATGCCTAGAGATTGATTTATATTCCAACAAATAAAGTAAATATAGTTCTTCACAAAACTATGAAGAAAATCAGCTTCCGTTAACTGAATTTTCAAGTACTACAGGAATTCATCAGATTAAAATCATCAACTACTAATATGACTACGAATAAAGTCCAAATCTATTACATCATGAGGATTTAATAGTCCCATTCTAATGGAATCATTCATTCTGCTCCATGTTAATAGGACTATATCTGACAGAGATTAGCAACGTGGCATAACTTCTAAACTAAAGTTGGATTGTTTCAAACTCATAAAAGTGAAAGTATCTCATTCTATATTCAGTTATTGAACTCAATAACATCCAAAATAAGCATGCAAAATTGAGAATATTAAGATAAATGACTAAATGTACGCTAAACTGGGAAGTATAAGTGAAAAATAATTATATTAAAAAGAGAGAGCATAAATAGTATTTATTGGAGCTAGAATAGATGAAACAGCTCCACTGATTTGAGAATGCATCATAGAGGGGCAAAAGATACATCAATAAAGTGGACATAGTAAAATGGATCGGCATTGTGTAAAAAATATACTCAAAATTGAATTAGCACATCATGTAGCACTCAATTTGAATAAGGAGGAGGATAAGTTATAAGGACAACCCCAAATAGTTCAAACAAGGCTAATAGAAAAGCAAGGGGTGGGAACTTTCTAGTAGGGATACCAAGTGAAATTATATTCAAACAAATCAAAAAGACTTCATACAATGATGTTGGAATTCCTTGCTATATTTTATACAATAGTTCAATACATAAAATAAATTTAGAAATGGATAATGCCTATAACATGAGATAGCAACACAACCAGAAGTTATAAAGTGAGCAAAGCCAATGTATGATAGGGTTGTCAATCTAGTTAATGGCCATAAAAAACTTATATTGAATTTAGTAATTAAATAAAATTCCTTATTTTACAAATTTGTTAACTTAACAAGCAAAAATTTTACATGACTTAGTTTGACTGTGTTTCTAAAATTGTTTATTCTCATTAACATCATTAAAAGTAGTGGCAGCCATGAAAGAAATGTTTACATCAATCGAATGCATCAAAATTTTCATGATAGATGATTTCGATTGTATGAGAGGAAAATTGAAACTTCAAAGTATATTAGATGGCCCATAATTGAATACATGACTTGTTGATATAATCTAGCATGAAATGGATGACTTTTTATTGGTAAACAAGTAGTTAAAACAATACTTTCAAAAGGAATTTTAAATACTATTGGGCATTCTCACATGCTTGATGCATAGTTAATTCATCATAACACTAATAAAATCTACCACATGCAATTCCTATATTGTATATCACAATCAAATGATATGATATTAAGTTCAAAGAATAAGAAATATGCATAATATATACACTCACATTTAAATTAAAATTCTGGTTTTACTCAAGTATACACCAATCAATGCCATCAATACAGTATAATCAACAAAAAGGCAATTAATTCCAAGCCGTTTGAAAGATTGTACACACTAAAAATATCCTTCATCTTGTTATATAATAAAAGCAAACATTAAACAAATTTGGTGCATCTAAGTTAGTGTATGCCGCTTGTTTTAATAATGTAAGGAAATAAACGATTTTGATCTTATGTTTAGATGCCATAACATTAAAGTGTAATTGGGACAAGAGCAGTCTTCTCCCCGAAGAAGGAGAAAAGTTCATCCATCAATACTCATATGTGTGCGGTAAACAAGTGAAACACAAACAACGCAACTTGTATCATGCACTGAGGGCTTGTTTGAGATCACATTTTTTTTTCTTTTAATTTTATTTTAAAAACATTTTTGTTTATAGCATTTTTTTGTGCCTAATTTTATTTTTTGTTTTAAAAAAATTAGCCTATTTTTAAATACACTCAAAATATCTAAAAGTTGTTTTGTGTTTTTTTAATTAAACATGTTATATCAAACCAAACATGTTTTGTTTTAAATCAAAACAAGTTTATCTATTTGATTAAAGTATGATTGTTTTTTAAGAAAATCTAAAAAAACCTAAAAATTATTTTGATTGTTTTCAAAAACATGTTAATTTTTTTTCGAAACAAAAAATAAAAATATGCAAACAAAATACACAAAACAAACATGCTTTTATAAACAAAAGCAACAAAAAAAAAACAAAAAACAATATTAATTCCAACAAGTCCTTAACAAATGGAGCAGAACAAAGTTTGAGCTCATTCAAAGTGAGCCCACTACGTCCATAGTTTCTGGTTAGGCAGGAACAAATCTGAGGAAAAAAAAAGGGAATTTACATATCTATCACACAATTTCTTTGTATTTACATAGCCAGCACCTAAAGTTTGATATTTAGACTTGTAACGCCTTGGTGACATTAAACTTAGCATGAAAAGATGTATTTTTTTTAAAATAGTGATGCTGGTATTTTTTTTAATGTGATGTTAAAGATTTGAGTGGTATGCATGTAAATATGAATGTTTAAGTTTTAAATTTGTAAATACATAAGACTTATGGGCATTTGATGTGAGACCACTGGCAACATTCTACAAATGCTGCTCCGCAAGTTTCCCTTTGCCGCTACTGACTGATTATCCAAAACAATCAGTCAAATTCTGCAATGCCCATTGCCCATCATTATATTGCCTATTGATTTCAGAATTAAACCCCCGATGTAATACTGAATAACTTGTTGAAAACGAACCACATTTTCCAAACAAATAAGCATAATGAAATCAAAATTCACAGAATATCAGAAAAATAGAGAATCATAACTACAAAATCCGTTTCTAAATGCAATTTTGATTATCAAATCAAACTTTTACGCGAGAACCGCTACGATTTTATCAAGTATTCAACGGGGCAATTTTCATAGGCGACAGCTGAACGGAAGAACCCTAGGTGAAATTGAAGTGCTTACCAAGGCGAATGAATTGATGGAGAGAGCGACGCCATTGAAAGCTGCCGCTTCGCCGACTGCCGAGAAATCAAACTTTTACTTGTTCGAACCGTTGGCCGACGAGCTTAGTAGCTGCTCTTCCTTATCTTCTGCTCTCAGCGTATCAGGACCGTACATCACGGGATGGATCTCTGCAAATTTCCACTGGTAGCATCACAACCGTCGATTCTTCAAAAATGAAATATAATTAAAATCATTTTGTTTCAAAATATTTGAAGATTTTAAAATTAATGTTTTTTTTTTTCCTTGCAATAATATTAAGCCACTTTAGAGTTTAGCTTAAGCAGTTTAATTAAGGAAATTCACGTCCGTTTGGGGCGGCGATGTGATAGTGGTGCGGCACCACGCCGCAGTCTTGTTTGTCTTGGTAAACTACATTTTGGCAGCTTTTCCTAAAAGTTGTCGTTGAAATCCTGTGTTTGCTCGTCGGTTCTGATTAGGTGTGATGGCAGTTTTCTAGTTATTGTCTCACTTTTTAAGAAACTAAATTATGTTTATCACCCCAGCTTCTTAAACATTAGATTATTTTCAATTGCTTCATAGCTATTTCTTAATAAGTTGGTGCTACCCCAAACATACCCTTAATCTCTAATTGGAGCTTAATTCTATGAGTCAAACTAGCTCACTAGCTTACTCGTTTATTAAGAAAGAGAAAAGGTGATATTAATTTAACTTATTGTTACTAGAAAAAAAGATATATGATCCTCGGATAGGTCACAGTACACGAGAAATTATTGCGTATGGAGAGCATACGCAAGCTGCGTGCGATCTCCGATCACGGCCGCACATCAAAAATCCTTTTAATTTTTTTTTAAATTTAGTAAAAGTGGAACCCACTTGCATACAGGGCTGATTTGTGTGCGGCTGTGATCGGAGAGCAGCACGCAATTATTACATATAGATCTGAAACACTGATATTTACAAATTAACCATTCAGCCGATATTTTTGAAAAATGGATGAAATAGGATGGTTGATTTGTAAATATCAAGTTTATATAATCGCCCTTTTTTTTTATTTCTAAGAAAAAAAATTTTGATGGTTATATATTATTTTATTATTTTTTAATTAAATAAATACTTGGATGAGCTTCACCCAACACTTCCAACCACTAATCCCATAAAAAAAATAATAATAAAATTATAAAAGCTAACCGCATGCGAAAATGATATGATTGATGGGAGTGGTTGGGATCACATGAATTGTCTATTTTGACCATAATGAGTAAGAAAATTTATTAGAGTTTCAAAAGTTTATAAACTTGATGTAAAGTTAAAAGATTAAAAAGATAAATTTACATACATACCAAATAAATTTTATTTATTTACATATATTTTATGCAAAATATTTTGGTGTCATAAATTCATGTATAAAAATATATATTTCAATTTTGAAAACATAATGGTTATTTTGTTTTTGATGTGCATGTAAAAAAAAAAACAACTTAAAAGGGTAAGAAAATTTAGGCATATTGTATCAAAAATGGCCTTAATTTATTAAAATAAAATAAAAATATGACACTCAATAAGACACAATCGAGAACAAAGATTCGTGTGGTTGACAAACTGACTGATTCAGCGAGACAAACACAATGTTACCAAAATTTATCCAATTTTACTCAAACTATGCTCATATCAAGTCTTTAAACTACTTTTAAAAGTTTTGGGTGGTCAATTGGAAGGACAAGTGGTTTTCAAATCTGACAAATTTATAATAAAATCTAATGTCTCAGTGAGACAAATCTAATGAGCCTAAGATCACTTAATTTTGATATCCTTAACATACTTAAATGTCCTTATGACGTCATTCGATCAAAGAAATCATTACGAGTCATTTGTTGGTGTGGTTCAAATACTTGTCTTATTTATGGGAACTGTCTCTATTAGACTCTATAAATAAAGCCCAGTTCCCATCATGAAAAGGGGGACAAAAATTTAAAGAGACAGGGACCTGAAGAGAGAGGTTGGAGTGGAATCTGAGAATTGTTCTGGATTCGAAGATGTGATAATAAATTTCATCTTTCGTGGCCACAAACCACCATCGACCACCACTTATGAGGCTTTATCGATCATTGTCGGCCACCCCATGCTTTTTGTCGTCATTAAATCTCATGATGCAACGACACACTTCAAATATAGTGTTAAGATGCACCTCAGATACGACGTAATGGCTCACCCTAAATGCAGTATAATGTTGCGCCCTAAATTTGGTATAATGATGCACTCTGAATGCATTGAAAAGAAATACCCCAACATCAGATAAAAAATAAAGGCATACTGATTCCCTACATCAAATGCTTACAATCGCCGTAATTAGAACACGATGACTTTTTTGGACTCATGAAGTTGTTTTCTTATGTTGTATGTTGACAAATGATATCTTTGTTGTGACCACTTACCTATTCAACACCCACTACAATCTTAGTGGTCAACTGATGTTATTGAAGCTCCCCACTACGACCTATGTGAACAACTACATTGCATGTGGCTCACTACTCATGCAGCTTCCAATTGTGGTCTTAGTGGCCAACTGATCTATTATCGTCAAGTACTATAGCGTCATTGAGTTATTATCACTGAATTATTATTGTACATCGACTTTATAATTCATCTTCCCTAATTCAAGAGAATAGTTATAGTGTAGTATTTTCTTTGGGTCAGGCCTTGTAATTGTTTCCCTTGATACAACTTTCTACGTAAAAAAATATTTGGTGGATCCTCAAACTACTTTTTTATTATTTGTGTGTGTGTGTTGAATTTTCGTGAAATACTGAGACGTTAATTTATCACTCTACCACGACTAATCTTCTAGCACATACATAAACAAAAATACGTATATTTTAAGTATATTGAACAAAATAACCTCTAGGGCAATCCTATGTGCAGCCCAGAGAATTTTTTTCTTTTTTTCACTCTCATGCAACACATGCCAATCATTTTCAGCCTCAATCTCTCAGCAAACTAGAGTTTCACTAAAAATATTTATTTTTCTATCATGCTTATAAGTAATGAATTTTTCTATTTTAAGTCAGGAAATTGAAATATGGAGGAAAGAAGCTGCTAAATTTGTAAATAATAATGTTTGAAGAGCTATGTATATAAATATCTTCATAAAATTTTATATTTATTAGTAAAAACCAAATATTTTTATTTGTAATATTAATATATTGTTTAATTGGGTAACATGAAATTAAACTCAAAATATCATGCCAAAATAAATATATTTTCCAAAAAAGAAAGATAAAAATTAAATCAGAATATTTAAATTAAAATTTTGAAAATGAAAAAGAAAATTCTTGAATATTAGAATAATTTATCAGACTATTTTAATCTTTTTAGGAAAATATATTCACTTAGGGCCTGTTTGGGCCAGTTTATTTAGTGCGGTGCATTTCTGTTTGGGTTAACTGCATTTTGACAGCTTATGTGTTTTTAAAACACTAAAAATAGCATTTTCACACCGCACCTATTTGGGTATGGTGACAACTTTCTGACAGCGATCTAACTTTTTTAAAAAAAATAAAAATTTATAATAGGATGTATTTCGGTGGGCCCCACCTAATTTTTTTAAAAAAAAATTGAAATAATCTTGACGGTAGATCACCGTGATCTACGATCAGGATCAGACACTGCATGTAATAATTTCTCGTTGAATTGGGCATGGTTAACGCGCCAATTCATTGAAAGAAACAAATTATAAAAAAATTGGAAGAGGAATCCTAACCGCATATTATCCTATTCATCCATTCCCGCATATAAATCAGAATATTATCCTCAAAACTGCTGCAGAATAGAAATTCTCCGAGACTGGCACCGGCCCCCCGCATGGAGACAAAAATGATGTTGGTGCATGCATAGGCGCATCCCTTGCATGTTCATTAAGGCCCCGTTGGTGCAGCTTATAAGCACGACCATATCTTCAAAATATTGTCTTATCGTTTGAAAAATATATTTTCGACAATTTATTCGAAATCGTGATGGGATTTTATAATAAACGTAGGCCACAAGTTGAACCCCATAAATCACCCTCATGCCGCATTTTAGGATAAGCTCTTTATCTGAATAAACACAGCCTGCCCCCAAACGTATCATAAATAATAAAAAAATTATTAAAACTATAGTATTATTATATTTTTGGATAAAAAATAGATCTACAAACAATAGTAAGGTCAACAATCAAATTCGCTAGTAATTTTTTTTTATTGTTTATTTATTTATATAGTTATACATATATGGAAATTATATTAAGATAAGTTTAAAGAAATATTAAATTTATTTAAAAACTAATGTTGCAATTGAAGAATTTATATCACTACTTTCACAATAAATTCAATGATTTATAAATAAATTTGAAAATTAATTGCATTAGAATATTTTAATTTTTTATTGGTATAAATATTTTTATATAATTATTGGGTGTCGGAAGGTTCATAGTGGTAAAATAATAAATTAACATATTAACCTTGTGTAAGGATCCAACATACAAACAAATAAAAGAAAAATAGTATAGGGATACCACATTTTTTTTGCGAAAAACTCTAGAAGGAAAAAACTAAGGGACCTGACCTATCAAAGTAACATATTATATATATGGGAGTACATAGGTTCATTCTTCAAACGAAATAGAGAAAATGAAATTACAAAAGTAGAATAATGGTCTAACTTTAATAACTGCGATGGGGCTACAACAAATGTAAATCTTGATGGTTGCAATAGTCTTAGCATGTCGTAGATGTCTTAGTTAAAATTCATAGCAGTCGGTCATATAAGTTGTTGTTGACTGCTTTGGGAGCATCAGTTGACCACATAAAGCATAGTGGAGGGTTGTAATAACATCACTTAGCCATCAAGATAATAGTTGGATGTTGTAGTGGCAATGAGCCACTAAAGTCGCAGTGTAAGCTGCATGAGTTATGAGCCACGTAGGTTGTAATCGGTCACATAAATCATAGTGGTGAACTGCAATAATGTTTGTATGTCAGAAGGATCAGAGTTGATAGTTGCATGAGTTGTGAGTCACGTGGGTCTTAGTTGGTCACATAAACTGTAGTAGAGAATTTCAATAATGTTTGTAGGTCACAGAGGTCAGTATTGAGAGCTGCAATAATGTTCATAAGTCATAAAGGTCGGAGTTGTGAGTTTCATGAGTTGTGAGTCGTATAGGTTGTACTGACGAGCCACAATAACATTTGTACGACATAGAGATGGGAGTTTAGAATTGCATGAGTTATGAGCCATGTATGCTATAATTACTCGCATAGATCGTAGTAGTAAGTTGTGATGACGTCTGTAGACCATAAAGACCATAGTTGAGAACTGCATGAGTTGTGAGTCATGTAAACGACAGAGTGCGTTGTAATAACTTCTATAGGTCATGCAGGTCAGATTTGGGAATTGTTATTACGTCATTATGACACAGAGGCTAGAGTTCGGAGCTACAATAACGTCATAAGCCACAGAGGTTGAAGTTTGAAGCTACGTGAATTATGAGTCACATAGGTTGTAGTTGGTCATGTAAGTCATAGTCGTATGTTACAATATTGTTTGTAGGCTACAGATGTTGGAGTTAAGAGATGTACTAGTTGTGAGTCACGCAGGTTGTTGTTGGTCGTGTAAGTCATAGTGGTTAGTTGCAATAACATCCATAGGCCACAAAGGTCGGGAGTTAAGAGTTGCATGATTTGTCAGCAATGTAGGTCTTAGTTGGTTACATAGACCATATTAATGATAGTGTCGGTTAACCTCAAAGGTCGCAATGAAGGGCTTGCGTCATGCATTATCATGTATATTCAGAGTGTCCAGTTATTCAATCTTTGGGGTGTGTTGTTACACCATGATTTGGCCACCGCGTTGCTCGGTGGGATGCTTTGTTACTCTGTCATGTACTTTATTACTCCGCAAGGTGCTTTGTTATTACATACGTGGTTACTTCATACTGCAACATGCGATGTTATTTCGCAAGGTGCTTCATTATCGACAGGCAGAGGGAGGTCAACGATGGTCGACAACGACTGGTGGGTGGTGTTCGACAACAATCAAAGTGTAGTGTTTGACGATGGTCAACAACTATGGAGGCAAGAAGTGTTTCTCGAGTCTTTGAATTCAAGTCAACTCTTAGATTCTCCTAATTCCCTTCCTGATCCAGCTCTCGGTCTCAGACTTTTTCCCTTCAGAAAATGAGTAGGGCTCTATTACTGATTTTGGTAGTGACATCCTCTATTAATAACACAGGAATCTTAACCACATTATCGAACAATCCATGGTGTTCTTTACATCTGATGTAGTTTTATGAACATTTAACTGCCCTAATGATGTCAGGATTAAGTGATTTTAAGTTCATTAGATTTATTTCATCAATATGCTCGATTTGACTATAAACTTATCAAATTTGGAATATACTTGATCCTCCAATTGGCCACCCAATGCCTCAAAAGGCGATTTAATGACTTGATTTACCTTAGATCATATCAATTTTGATGTCATTGGGTATGTCTCATCAAATCGATCAGCCTGATTGTAAGTTAGTTGAAATAGGGGTTCTATATGTTTTTTTAATTTGAGCATGATCTTTTCTTATTTAGAAAATGCCCCAAAATTCATGTTATTTCTCAAGATTCATGTCAATATCAAAATTCATTTGTTACGAGATACATGTTATATCTTCGAGATTCATGTTAAATATCAAATTTAGTTTGTCTTGAGATTCATTTCACGTCTTAAGATTCATGTCACATCTCAAGATTCATGTAAAATAAAAAATATCTTTTGTATTTTATATTAAATGATTTCTTATTCTTTTTCTTTTAATTGCACGTTCTATATGTCATTTTATTATATTACTATCTTAAGTACTGACTCGAATGCATAAAAGTAAGCTCGGGCTCGAGCTCAAACTCGATAAAATTAATATATTTGCTATGTTAATATCACCGAGAGATAATTACATGCATAACATTCAAAACATTTCTATTCACAAAATCTAACATCAAGATGAAAGTTTTAAACTAAAGAATCAATATGATTATGCGTGTGAGTAGAGAATTTGATAAAATTAAAAAATAAATATTTGGGTTTGATCATGAACCTTGGTGTTTGTGTGAGAATTTAAAAAATAGATGGCAACATTTGTAAATAGCAAACTTTCGGTTGATTGGATGTAAAGAGCCCCAATATATTTTCGGTGGTATATCCACTGTATAAAATTTTGGGTGGTAGATCAGTAAAACTCATGATTTAAAGCGATGTGTATGTAAATCCACCTCCCCTCCTTTATAATGTTGTTTCATTTGCTCGAATGAGCGCACTACGCGCGGCTGCACAAAAACAGGCCGAGTATGCCCTCCCTCTCCTTTCTTCCTCTCAAGGTTTTCTAAAATTGGTGCCTTTATCTTATAATCTCTTTATCCCCTTATCTTCTTTGACAAAAAGCAGCAATCTTTAATCAGTTTCTATTAATGCTTCCTCGTGGCATAGTTTTTTTTCTGAATCACTGAAAAAGATCCAATTCAAAGCTCCTGTTTTTATCTTCAAAATCCTCTTTTTTTTTCCATTCTGCAATTTCATAACTTTAGCTTTCATCCTGTGTTTTCAGCCATGATGCTTTATCGAACTCGCTCTGCGCCTTTTGCCCTAATTTTTCTGATATTATAGCACCTAATCGAATATGGTGGATGATGGGAAGGTAGAAATTTGCGACCGGCATTCCCGCCGGCCATCAAAATTTAGGGTTAGTGACAGAGAAGAAAGCTTTGATCGCTTGAGCGATTTACCTGACGCCCTTCTCCTTCAAATTCTGTCATACTTTTCTCTCGATGATGCTATTACAACCAGTCTCCTGTCAAGAAGATGGAGGAACCTATGGAAATGGATAGATAACTTGGATTTCCCGATGCAGTGCGGCAAATCAAAAAGAAATTCGTTACAGTTCATCGAGAGATCGCTCAGCTTGCACGAGGGCATAAAAATCAAGAGATTTTGTGCTCGGTTCCGCTACAATTCAAACTTCATATCTCATGTTGATTCCTGGGTGCGGTTTGCAGTCGCTCGAAACGTTGAAAAACTCGTTCTTGATCCTTTCTACGTCGAAAATGGAGTCCAGCCTTATATGATACCTGTAAATCTTTACAAATGTGGCTCATTAAAGGAGCTGGAAGTGAATCTCTGTAGATTCTCCCCGCCGCCTTCGTTCCTCCTGCGCTCATTAACGAAGCTCACGATCAACAACACGGTTTTTGCCGGCGATACGTTGAAGACACTGATTTCAGGATGCCCAGCTCTTGAAGAATTGGCGCTGGTGAACTGCAACCAAGCTCGCGATCTCGAAGTTGTGGTTCTGAATCGAAATCTCGAGAGGATGAAGATTGTGGAGTTTCCTGACGAAATGGAGGAGGGGACGGAGGTGAAAATTTATGCTCCTTATCTCTTACATTTGGAGCTTCAGTCTGGGGATTTCAGGCCTTGTGTTATACAGGATGCTTCCTCTATTGTGTCTGCTTGGCTTGATTTGAGAAAGATGGTTACCTGTTTATCATTCAATGCTTATAATCAGAAGAATTACTGTAAGATATTGGTGAATATTATGATAGGTCTTCATGAAGTGGAGACTTTGAGGCTTTCTAGCTGGTGTGTTCAGGTATGGACCTGTTCATGTTTTCTAAGGTATGAAAAAAATTGTTGTTTTGATGCTAGATTTTGTTATTTTTTGCAATACTTGGATATTATTGTGTGAAAAAAAGACATTTTTCTAACATTGTAGAATGAAAATTCGCTTTTTTTATGTTTGTTGGAATTTTCTCCCCTAAAAGTAGATTGTTTGAGTGATTATCTTATAAGTTGGTTGTTTATTTGTTGGAAGATTTGTGTGGATACCACTTAGTTGTTATGTATTTACATATCTAAAATCAAAACTTTAATTTTTATATACATGCCATCTTACATATGTGCGAGAAGGTATATTTCACTTTTTAAAAGTTAAAAAAATGGTACTTTTGATATGATATGAAAAATTTTGGCAGTATAAATGTAAAAAGTAACAAATTAGTTCTTGGATAAGTAAATACAAAAGAATTATTTGTTGGAAGATTTAAGATTTGTTAGCATAAACACTTAAATCCATCAAATCTTATGATTTGTGAGATCAAACAAATTCTAGATTGAAGCAATAATGCTGTTGAAATAAGATTTATCAAAAGATTAGAATATAAATTTCTCCAAATTTTGTTCCTCTTATGGTTAGAGCCATTCCACTTAAAATCATTTATGACTGTGTTGTTTTTTGCACTAATATGAAAGGAAGAATTCTCTAAAATGTGCAAAAAAGGAATTTTTGATATAAAGTGATTTCATTTGTTACTGAATATCAATCATAATTGTTAGAATGTTTTTTCTATAATTACATCAAATTATGCTCATTGATCATTTTTATCTTAATTATTTTTTTTTTTTTTTTTTTTTTTTTGCATGAAGGCACTGCTCGCCCAAGAAGATTTGCACAGTTGTTTGCCAACAACACTACAAAACCTGAAACATCTAAAGCTGGATGTGCAGTTAACCAAAGAAGAACTCCCTGGAATTGCCTGCTTGCTAAGTAGCTCTCCTGAGCTAGAGAGCTTGAACATTCAACTTTGTAGACAAGCCCATATGGACAAGGTACATTGCTATTTATATATATATATATATATATACATATATATATTTGTAGGAGTGTAACTTAGCCAAGCCAACTCGCAAGCTAGTGGAGCTCAATGAACTAACAAATCAAACTTGAGTCAACTTCTGCTCGACTCATTAGCTTGCGAGTTTGCTCATTTAAAGAAAGGAAAATTTATATACTTACCATTCAATTCTTATGTATTTACACATCTAATACATGAGCTTCAATTTTTACATACATATACGACCTCACGTATACATGAAAATATGTCACTCATTTTCTAAAATTTAAAATGATGATATTTCTGAAGTGATACGAAAGATTGTTCGAGTTTTAACTTGATTAATTAATCGAGCTCAAGCTCAAGCTAGGCTAAGGGTGACTCAAGCTCGGCTTGACTCATTTACACCCTTACTTTCTTGCACTTTATTCCATCGTATTCAAATGCCTTGCACGCACTTCTCGCAGGACATGATTAACCCTACGGATTCTAATCGAAGCGAATGGAGCTTTTGGGATAGCCATGAATCTTCTTTCTACAGCCTGAAATATAATCTGAAGAAGGTTTTAATTGAAAATTTTAAAGGAGAAGAGAATGAAATGAGATTCTTAGCTTTCCTGCTCAGGAACTCAATTGTCTTAAAGCAAGTAGTAATATCAATGTCAGTCCAGCCCTTATCTTTTACTGGCTCAGGTGAAGCATATGTGGAGTATTGCAGTAAACCTGGAAGAGCTTCCAAGAAATACCTTCAGAGTATCAGAAAACTGATGGAGTACCCGAGACCTCCACAGACTGAAATTCTGTTTTTTGGAAGCCAACCTGCTTGTTTTTAATAGATTCTGACAGCAAAAACAAAACTTTATTCATGAAAAATAAAGTGTCGAAATAGTCCCCGGACTATTTACTTGGGGTCTATAAAAGTTTCAAATTAGCCCTAAACTTTTTTAATATGAGCTAAAATGATCTCAGAGAGAACTATTTTAATCATTGTTAAAAGAGCATGGGGTTTAACTTGTAATTTTTATGGAGTCTGAGACTAAAATGACTCCCTACAAGTTGGGGATCATTTTGACATTTTTCTCATGAAAAATGTAAGTTTGTATAGTTATACGATGATCATAACCATCATATAGACCCTGAAAAATAACCATTTTATGTAAATATTAGTAATGCTATCTCCTGGGGGATACAGTAAAGCAGAGTTGTGGAGCTGAGTTGTTGTGAGTCTGGCTATGTACATTATGAAATGTGTGTATGTATGTTTGTATCTATGGCCTCTGATGCATCAAGAAGTAAATAACGTTTTGGTTCATGATTAATGCTAAGTATTTGATTTGTTGGCTAATTTCTGGTAATTACTATTTTTAAGATAAATGTGTTATTCTTAGCATCTTGTTGGAGTTTAGAGCAAGTTGAAATTGTGACTTTAAGGCACATCGAAAGCCAGAAAAGTGCAGAGCTGTTAGAGCACAATAAAAGCATGAGTTGCATCAAAAGTGCTCAGCTTTTGTTTTTCCCTCCTGGATTGGAAATATTAATTTAGACAGCACAGAATTGCATGAGAAAAATTTCTCTAATTGTGTAATTTTATTTTATTTATATTTAATTTGAAATAAAACATGTTGTCATGTCAAAAACATTTTTATTTATTTTTGAAAAGTTTTTTCAATGAGTTCTTAGTTCTTGACATTTCAAGGAAACTGAGCAATTGGGCATTTACATACATCACACAATTGTCATGTATTTGCATATCAAAACACCTAAAGATTCATATTTACATGCATATCACTCAAATCTTCGAACGACAAATCAAAAATATTACAATCGCCATCTTTTTAAAAATGAAACGTGATTTTTTTTTGCATGCGTTTATGACACTAAAGTATTCTAACTGCAAATGTCAAACTGTCAGTATTTGATATGTAAATACAAAAGAATTGTGTGCCATGTATGTAGATTTTGCTTAAAAAAATAAAAAACTATACAACATATAGAGCTGTCAATTTGGCTCGTTGAACAGCTCGTATTCGGCTCGTTACGCAACTCGTGTTCGGCTCGTTAACAAATTTTTAAGCTCGAAATGTAAACGAGCCGAACACGAATAACAGTTTGTTCGCTCGTGTTCGGCTCGAAATGACTCGAAAAAAAAATTATATAACTTTTTATATAACAATATATTACATATATTATTTATATAATAATATATTATATATATTTATGTCTAAGTTTAAATCATAACACCTCATGTGACAATGTGGTTAGTATTTTTTTTGTATAGATTTGATCCAGGTTCGAATCTCAAACTATACATCTATTTTTCACAATTTTAGTTTAACGGCCAATTTCGAGCGTAACACGAGCCGCACACGAACACGAACCGATTTCGAGCACGAGCTATTTAGAACGAGTCTAACACGAGCCCAACTTGAGCTCGCTCAAGCTCAAGCTGGGCTTGTTTACAGCCCTAACAACATAAACATGTTTTAAATTAACATTTTAATTTAATTAAGAATGCCTTGTTAATCTTAACTTTATGTTCATTAAATTCTTAGTATTTTATTCAAATTATCTGTTGGCCTCACAGGTTAGGAACAAGTCAACATCTACTTTCTGGGGGCGCTTTTTCAGTGTGCCATCAATAGCAGTTTGTTGCATTTTTACACCTGATGATGGTTTTCACATTTTAGATACTTTTTAAATTACAAGATATTCATATACAGCATAGAACAGAGGAAATATAAGGAATTGAAATTCAGCTTGTAAAATTATTGCATGCACTTATTCAGGTCATGACAAAAAAAGGGAGAATTTGCATACATACCATAAAATTTATATATTTATATATAAAATATTTAAAAGTTAATATTTTGTATCATAGATTATAAATTTATGCATGAAAAGTTGTCTTTCATATATTAATAAGTTAATAATAGTGATATTTTCTATGTAACATTCTACATTTGATTGTTATACACTTGAATATAAATGTTTAGTGGTAGGTATATGGAAGATTTGCATATGTACCACTCAATGCATACGAAAGATAGATTTAGGTGGTAAAAATATGTAGGTTAGATATGTAAATACAAAAGAATAGGGTGATATGTATGTAAATGTCCCATTAATTATGCTTCGGTCTTTTAAATTGGAGAGTAAGTCCAAGAAGAGTTTTATGGAAATGGTAGAAGATGACTTTTGAGAGTTCCGACAACAAACCATCTCATTTCTTTTGACAGGTTAAGATTGCAACTCAAACATTTATTATATTCATAAATCAATCAGAATGTTATCTTACAGAATTTAATTATGTAGCAATTAGTCACCATCATTGCCATGTGATTACATGCATCAATTTTATGATTATCAAACCCATACAATTCCACTAACCATTTTTTTGGGATGATTAAAATTTTGTTATTTATAAAACTAGTAAGTAAGTTTTTTTTTTTTTTTTTTTTTTTTTTTGTCCAAAGCAGTGTTGTACGTTAGAAACGTGTCAGCCTTGATCTAAGGAAGATCTAAGGAACAAAGTGACAAAAAGTATAACAAAGAGAGTCTATCGACGCAAGACCAAAGTACCTAATTGACCAGATGCGACCCTCCTAAACCAAGGCTAGAGGCCGACCGAATGTAGGCCACCTGAACCAAGGATTAATGCTAATCGAGTTGAGCATAGGCATCGACCTACCTCTCGCTGCAACCAAACTAAAGGGAAGTGTTCAATATTGTCAACCATCTTATGGATGCCCTTAAGATTCCTCATAAACGATCGAGAACTAGTCATAATGTAATCCACGAAGCATCCCGAGAGACCCCCTTGTCAAGAAACGAGTTATATGTCAGATTACGGTGATTCACCCTCTGTCCAATAGCTCAGTCTCACTCTGTCAATAGGAACTCTTTACTCATGGATCAATAGTCGACAAGCAGACAAACCAGAATAACCGACCGACAAAGCTAAATCGATCGAGCTAAGTCTCGCCGACCCAAAGACTGTCAAAGGCTGACCAGCAACTCCGATTCAGCAAGTCAGACAAAAGGTCTTGTTAAATTAAGACCCACTTATTTTAGTCATTCGAGTGAGAGGCTAGCAGAGTCATGGGGACAGAAATATAGAATACCTAATTATCATGAAATGCCGCCATTAAAGCAGCGTAATCTCACACATTTTATCCCTTCTTTAGAGTTAGAATAATCATATTATGAGAAAGGGCTAATTAACTATTCATATTATTGTCCATTATTGTGCATTTCTCTCTCTCTCTCTCTCCATTTTCTATCTTACGCTCTATTCTTTCGGTGTGATTCACAGAAAATTCAAAATTTAACATCCTAAAAGATGTGATTAGTGTTGATCATGACACAGACAAGAAGAATAGCACGGTGAAAAGAAAACCTCAACATAAACAGAAGTAATATGGAGTGCACTATGAAGTTTATGCACTAGCAATTCCAAGAACTGAAATACCATATGACAGATGACGTCGGAGAGGAATTAGCTCGGAACAATGACCAGAACACTCTAGAAGAAGGGTCGGTGCTCAACGACTGAAGGACACGCTTGGTTGTGAATTGGGAGGGAGATTCCCAATACTTTGATAATATTGGGTCAACCCAATGGATAGAAAATGATTGTGGCAAAATGAGGCGCCACCCCAGCGAGAGAATGCATTATCTGGATGGATTTTTTAAATCGATCATCAGAAAGATTGAAAATCCATGCCATGAAATCTTGTAAGGATCATATTGATCCGACATGGCACATAACTTCTTTCGAGATAACCGTTTGTTTGCTAAGGATCAGAGATGCACTAAAGTGCATCAATTTCTTCACCACACCGAGGAAGTTAGCCCTCATGTGTTTCAACGGATTGTCACCAGGGGTGATCACTTTGTTGGCCGACATAGACAATCCAAGATCTTTTTCTGCCCTTCACCCTATGGCCCCTTATTTCCCTCAGGCCTCTTCTCACCTTCCGATTTCTTTTTAGCCTTAAGGCAAGATCGTGACACAAACAATCCAAATGTAGCCTTCGATTTTTTGCACTGACCTTTTTTCAAGGTTTCAGAGTGTTCGTCATCAAGGGGTTTGAAAGCTAACCGAATCAGACACAGACAAAAAGGAAATGTGGGATAACAAAGTAGTTAGTCACACCCTACGTATAAGAACCATGTACACAAAATTTCAGGAAATACAATTATTAAAGCTATGATTATGAAATAACATGTAACAACTTTTTCCATTTAATTCTCTTATTCTTATAACAGTTGTCGCTTTTCAAGAAGATAATCTGTGAACTAAATTAGATATATCGAAAATGTGTTGCATGAATCTCGAGAAGATACAATAGAAAATGAGATAAAGAAGTATACCTGAAGAGAGCCCACTAGCGAAAAACCAAATGACCCACTTGGCCAGCTTTAACCCCCCTAAACCAAGGCTAGAGTTTCACCACCGAACCAAAGACTAAGGCCAATCAAGCTATATAGAAGAATCGACCTACCTTTCAACACAACCTGACTCAAGGGAAGAGTTCAATATAACCAACTATCTCACAAAAACCCTTAAGATTCAACATCAGGGATCGAGAACTAGTCATAACATAATCCACAATTTATCTTAAGAGATATCTTCATCAAAGAATGAGCTATAAATAGAATTACAGTGATTCACATTTTATTTGATAGCCTAATATAATTCTACAAACAAGAACTTCTCACTCAAAGATCAATTTTCAAAAGACAATTTTGAACATGAACGACAAAACTAAGTCAATCAAGCTAAGTCTCACAAATCCGAAGACCATCAAAGGCTAAGTGAACCCTACTTCAACACAATTAAACAAACAGACATGTTGATTGGCGGGGTTCACTGTAAATCCCCTCAGGTCACGGGTTCATGAATAGTAAAGCAAATGGGACGGGCTCTCATCATGAGACCATGATACACATGAAAAATCAATATTTGAGATTTTGCCAAATAACGATTTCCTTTTGAATGTATATAGATATGTATATAAATATAGACATATGTATCTACACATATAGTCATGTGTTTTTGTGTGCGTGTGTGTATATATATATATAATACTAAAAATATCAACAAACACATTCTCATCAAATCAAGAACAAACACATTATCGCCTATTGTGCCACTTTCTCTATAAATAAAAGAAAAATTTTATTAAAAAAAAAAAACTAATCCTATAAATAAAAGAACTATTTTGTAAAAAAAAAATTAATCAATAATAAAAATTATCATTCATTAATTTACATTTCCCCCTTTCCCTTTTTCTAATCTTGAGCCCTCTTCCTTGAATGTTATTCAAGGAACAAATCAAAAATGAAGAAGTGTAAAAATTAGATAAAAATGAAATATGGGTTGAATTTTTACATTGTAAATTTTAATATTCAAATGAGCATATTAAAAAAAGACAAACATGCTAGTTTTATAAAATGTATCTAACTCTGCCTTTTTCTATTATTATTATTATTATTAAGTTTTATATTTTTTTTCTGAATTATTTAAACACAGTATGAAATTTAAACTAAATAACTTAATTACAAATTACTTCAATTTAAAAAAATATATATATTAAATTTTTAAAAAGGAAGAACAGTAACAAGCAATGCCTCTAATAAATCAAAGAGAACTCACAAAATACCTCATTTATACATGTCAATATAATATAATGGAATAACATTGCTCTGGTCAAATAAAATGATAAAATAGGAGTTTTTTTCTTTTTTCAAATAGAATAGAATAATTTAATTTATTTTCTACTTATTTTTTATTCATTAATTCATTGCTTCCCCTGCTGCGATGCCGAAGTGTGGAAAATTTGCTGGTAAGGTATAGATGGGTTCTTCGCCGCTCAAGCCTTGGAACGCACGTCCTAATGAATAGCCCAAGGCCCTTGAAACCGGCACGGCCACGGCATTTCCAACCTGAATGTACCTACAAAATTTTAAATGGCTAAGAATAAAACATAAATAAATAACTAAAATGACAATTTACATGCATAACACTCGATTCTAATGTATTTAGATATCTAACACGTAAATTCAATTTTTATAAATATGACATCATGCATTAATAAGGAAAATTTTACATTTTTAATTTTAAAATAGTGATATGTTTATGTGCTATTAAAGATTTGGGTGTTGGATATGTAGATACATAGCAATTAGGTGGTATATAGAAATGATCTTTTTTTATGTACAACAACAATAGCAAAACTTTAATCCCACTATGTGAGGTCGACTACATAAATCCTCTCTCAGTTGTGTCCTATTTAGTGTCATATTTTCATTTAATTCTAATAAATTAAGATCATTTTTTATACAATAAGCCCAAGTCTTACTAGGTCTACCTATGTCTTTCTTAACAAAAATCGAATCTAAAACATCTACTCCTAATCGGATCATAAGATGGTTGACGTTTAATCTGACCAAACCATCTAAAACGACTCTCTAATTTTGTCCATCCTGAAGCTACACTAAGCTTATCACAGATATGTTCATTTCGTTTTTTGTCTCTGTGTAAAGCCACTCATCCACCTAATCATTCTCATCTCGACAACACTTAACTTAATATAGTGCTTCTCTTTTAAAGGACAACTTTCAATGCCATGGAACATTGCAGATCTCAAAACAATCTAATAAAATTTTCCTTTTAGTCTAAGCGGGTACTATGAATGTAAATATTAAAATTTAGGTGTTAACTGTAAGTATATAATATTTGCTTGGTATGTATGCAAATGCCAGGTTTTGATAAAAAAATTGGAAAGTCATTATATATATATACACACAATATAAAAAATAAAAAATAAAAGCTTAGGAGTATAAAAAATGAATGAACATTTATGCAGTAAAAATAAAAAATATAAATTTATTATATGAATCTCAATAAAACATCACAGATAAACTCATAAGATGAAAAGTTTACCTCTCTTTAATCGGCCCACAAAGTTTATAATGATCTGGAAATCCTTGAAGCCTTGCATTTTCTCGAATAGTCAATACCCTATCTTGTTCAGGGTGCAAAATAACCTACAAAAGAAACAACTTTAGAATGAGAATCAAAGAATTCAAGCAATATGACAATAATCATCCATTGATTAAGTTGTTCTTTGGTGTCTGCGAGGAGAAACCTGGTTGTGAGGCTCCGCGCGAGTTACAACTGTAGGCACAGTCTCGTCCCACCACAACCGCCCAAAAGGTCTGTTTGACAGAGAATATGAACCAAATAAAGTAATTATTAAGTTTTATAAAAACAAATGGAGAGGAAAGGAAAAAAAGAAAGATTTACGTGCATTCCACTCAATTCTTATGCACTTACATATCTAATACCAAAACTTCAATTTATATGCCATTGCATGAAGGTGTACTTCACTTTATAAAAGTTGAAATAATGAATAATTTTAGGAGGTGTTTGGCTGCACTCATGATTAATTTAAACAGGATTAAGTAAATCTGGTAAATCCGAACTTATCAATCCACTATGTTGTAAATCTAGAATGATGTTTGGTTTGATTGAGGTTAAATCTAGTTGAAGTCATAGAAGTGTTTGATACTTTAATTCAGGTCCATATAGCAATTGTTTTTTTTTTCCCCAAACAAAATTCATTAAATCCATCAATTAGTTAGATTCAAAAAATTTTGATGGTAAGTACAAAAAAAGTGAAAAAGGTAAGTGAAATGAATTTAACACTGCATTCACATTTGGATGGATTTATGTTAAATTGAGTTAGAAGATCTAATGTGATATTAAAAATTTGAATGTTATGTATGTAAATTTAAAAGTTTAGATTGGATATATACGTAAATAAGATTTTGAGTGGTATGCATGTAAATGCCAAAGGAAGAAATAGCAAACCGACTTGGTGGACTTTCCTTTAATAAATGACATAGCATAATCAGGAACCTGTAAAATAAATGTCTTCAAGTGCTATGAAAAATATGTAATTCAAAAAAAAAAAGGTAGAACTGAAAGGGAAAACCTTACCAAAGGATTTCCGGAAGGGAGCAGCACCCGTTCCACCTCTGGATCAAACTCTACTGTATTATTGGGTCCAACTCTTACCCCTGGGAAATCTCTAAAATTGGCACCCTGTACAAATGAATAATATTTCTTAATATAATTTAAGCACTTAGGGACATTAAACAACTAAAAAAATTATAAAATAATAATAATAATACTAATAATAAAGAGTTTTATTGAAGGACGCCAGTAAATAATGAACCTTTTTTTTAGGTACTCTGCAAACTCGCAAGTAATCATCCTCATTTAGTTGTAGAGGTCTGTGATCGAATAGCGTATTATGTAGAATTGACTTCTTCGGGTTGCAGCAGGGATCAATAGAATCTACGAAATGATGAGAAAATAAATATATATATATATATATATTAAATGAAAATTCATTATATGTAACAATGCGGTTTCATGCCAATATTTAACGAGATGAAAGGAAGTTCATATAAAAGGTTAAAGGATAGGTAAAGTAACAAATTTCTCCTATACGCTATGCAATATATCGATATGTATACCAAGATACACATAAATTAATCAAAATAAGAAATAAGAATGCACTCGTGCTAAAATTCTGACAGAATTAAGCATCATACACTTTCATAACAATATTTAGAAACATAAATATCATCTAAAACAGTTATATATATAGAAATGCCATAAACAAATTTTTATCATCCAGACTTGGATTTCGAGTGATGGATGGAATTTTTATACAAAGAACTTTCAAAATTCAATTAAAAATAATTCAAAACTCTGATTTCAGTAAATTTATAGTGAAACTGACCGGCTCAAAGAGAAGAACAAAATTACAACAAAGTTGGTTCAATCAGAATCAAATCAATCCAATATGTAGTCGTTAAGCCATTTTTGGAAGCTTATATCGCACAAATTAAAAATTCAAATGGATTAAAAACATGATAAGCTTATGGTAAAATCAAGTGTCTCAAAAAGAAGAATTCAATAAGCTTAAGATCACTCAATTTCAATATTTTTAAGATACTCATATGTCAACGAAATGTCATCTGATCAAGGAGATCTACTTAACCCACCCATTAGAATGGTCCAAATTTTTTCCTTGTCTGATATGAAAACTCTCACGAACTCTATAAACATAATCTTCATGAAAGAGGAGCTAGACCTTGAACCAGAGAATCCTCAAAGCTTGAGAAGTTGAGGTACGGATGTCACCAAATGTTGCAACAGTTGCCAACAACCATTTAATGCCCCATGCTCGTTGCAACAAAACCCCTTGTTTAATCACGAGTTTGTTATGAAATTCCAAGTTACATTGTGGAACAACAAAGCACACTATGAGACATGCAATGTGCACCCTGACAATGATGCAACGACATACCTCGCATAAAATATAACGACACCTCTAAGAGATTATAATAATGCACTCTGCAATAATTGTTTACAACTATCATACACAAGAAATGATGAATTCTTTGGACTTTTGAAACTCGCTTCTTGAATCCATCACTATAACCTATGTGACAAATTATGTCCTACATGACTTACAGCTCATGTAACTCATAACTTCGACTTTTATGGCTTGCAGATGTTATCATAGCTCGTGTAGCTCTCAAAATGAATCTATGTAGTCTACATATGCTATCACAGTTAATGCATCTTTCAACACAAACCTCCGCACTCCGCAAACAATATCAAAGCTTGTGTAGCTTTAACTTCAATTTTCGCAGCCTATAGACATTATCACAGCTCATGCAACTCCTATCTCAAACCTCTTCAGCCTACAGGCGTTATCACAACTCATGTAGCTCCAAACTTTATCCCAAATAATTTATGAACATTATCCAGCTCATGTAGCTCACACGTTTAGCCTCTGTGGCATATAAATATTATCACAACTCAATCAACTCCCAACTCCAGTCTCTACTACGACCTATGAATGTTATCACAGCTAGTGCAGATCCTAACTCGAGCCTCTTTGCCCTACGCATATTATCTCAACTCATGCTACTCTCAATTCTAGTCTCTATGGCCTACAATTATTATTACATATCTTTTTCTAGCCTATGTGTTATGTTGGAGACCGGTTCGGACCCCTTGTCTTCCGACTACGAAAGATCGCGATCTCTCATTCGTGAAGCGAAGCGTTCAGTCGCGAACCATAGGCGCCAACCGCTCTCGCCTTCCTCTTTTCTGAAGCGAAGCATCTCTTCGCTCCCTCTTGTTCATGATAAAAGGTATCGCACAACTCTCCTTCAGATTAAGCAAAGTCACATTTTGGTGTTCTTCTTTGGGTTTCCTTGGGATGGAGGAAGAGTTATTAGGGCTTCCTAGAGACAAAGGAAGAGAAGTGCAATAAATAATTCCTTGCGGTTTCCTGGGGGGAAAAAAAAAAAAAAAAAAAAAAAAAAAAAAGATTGTTCTTCCTTGGCTTCTTCTTGGTGGCTTGTAACTGAAGAAAAATTAAGTTTATTTCTCTTGTAAATTTATCTTTTTTGGTGTATCTCGGTGTAGAGAGAGAAGAATAGAGAGAAAAAAAGAGAGCAACAAAGTGATAGTGAGAGATTCCTCTTATAAGTCGAGGTGATCGACTGGTGTAAAATCCTCAAGTAGTAAAATCATCTGTAACTCCATGAACGTAAACAATTTACTGAACCAGGTAAATATATGTTCTTCACTGGTGTGTTTTTTCTTGTTCTATTTTTCATTTCGTCGATTGTTCTCCTATTTGATTTATATATATACTTAGGACTGTTAAAACGGTTTGTTGTTCGCGAACAGCTCGTGTTCGGCTCGTTAATTTCGTTTGATAAGTTAACGAGGCGCAAAAGAAAAAAAAAGTGGTCGTT